TTTAAATTTTTTTTTTCATAATTATTTATTCTGTAATATGTTGCATACAACATGCTTTTCATTTTAAATAAATGTTCTTAATTCCAAACCAGTCCCTTGTTTTTTGGGGTTTTTTTTGTTAAATTATAGGACTAAAGCTGTTACCTGTAAATTTAAATCATGTTTTTATTAAGTACTCGGTATCGGTATCGGCGAGTACTGAAATGCAAGTACTCGTACTCGTTTCCAAAAAAGTGGTATCGGTGCATCCCTAATGTAATGGACTATAATGATGTGGTGAGTGTGGTGTTTGGCTGAGGTACAGCTCTGCATAGACTGTTTGTGGCAAAGAGAAAAACACTGGGAAGTTTATTTCTTAATTTACAGCCTGTAACAGCAAGAGAGCATCAAGTCTCAGTTAATATTGTTGATGGGTAGCAAAGATTGATGCAAACTAACGTGATTAGTGGATATACACTATCAGTCAAAAGTCTGGACACGCCTTCTCATTTAATGTTTTTTATTTATTTTTATTAGTTTCTACATTGTAGATGCGTACTAAAGACACCAAATGTATGAAGCAAGATATATGGAATTATGTAGCAAAGAAAAAAATTGATTAACTCTGAAAATGCCGTATATTTTATATCTTCAAAGTAGCAACCCTTTGCTTTGTTGACAGTGCTGCAAACCTTTGGCGGACTCTCAATGACCTTCATGATGTAGTCGCCTGAAATGGGTTTTCACTTCACAGGTGTGTCTTGTCAGGGTTTATTTGTGGAATTTCTTGCCTTCTTAATGGAGTTGGGAACATCAGTTGTGTTGTGCAGAAGTCAGGTTGGTAAACAGCTGACAGCCCTATTTGACAAGTGCAAGAATCCCTGTTATGGCCAGAACCAATCAGGCATTACAGGTGACTACCTCATGAAGCACATCGAGAGAATGCCAAGAGTGTGCAAAGCAGTAATCAAAGCTTTTGACTGGCAGTGTAGGTGGGCAGAAACTTGACAAGTGAAACAGCATCAACTCACAACTACTGCCAGATATGGTTTAGTATTAATCTTTTAAATCTCTTGCTTCATTTTTCTTTGAGGTGTATTTTTATGTGTAAAACAGCTGACAGCTGTAGTAGGTTCATACATTTCAGTAACTAACTAAACAGTTGTAGCTTCTGTATTAGGAAAAATAAAATCCTGAGTGCTTGAGTATGCTTGAGTAGGAGGTCAACTTAGACCAGGATGGACTTGGCGCAAACTTTGATCTGCATCTGATTTCAGTTCTTAGTTGGGAGGTGTTGAGGCTCCTGTCAACAAATCGTGCATTTTTAAATGAGAGGTCTCGAGCTTAGGTGGGAGATAATTGTCCTGGTTATCCAGGCTGATTTGCCCTGTGTCTTATTGAGCAGAGGAGAGTTCAATCTCCTTTCTCTGGCCTCTGTGAATGTAAGTTGTGATTACACATTTCTAGTACATATACACCACTCCAGGTCAGGGATGAGTTACTACTACAGATGGAGGAGTTGGGGTATCTTAGGGTCTTGTTCACAAAAGAGGGGAGAGTGGTGCTTGAGATTGACAGAAAGATTGGAGCGATGCTGTATCAGTTTCGTTATGGTGAAGAGAGAGATGAGCATAAAAATGAACCTGTTGATTTACTGGTCAATCTACGCCTCAACTGTGGTCACAAGCTCTTAGTAACTGAAAGAACAAGGTCGTGGATACAGGCTTCAGAAATGGGTGTCCTTTAAAGGTGGCAGGGCTCTCCCTTAATGACCGAGCTCTTCAATGGGTCATTCGGCTCAGCGTAAAACAGCTGCTCCTCCACATTAAAAGAACCCAGTTGAGGTGGTATGGGCCTCTGGTAGGATGCCTCCTACTGGTGGTCAGTGCTGGGAGAAAAGTTATTTAGTGGCACATGTAACAACCACAAGATTATCATCTCAACACAAATCAGCAATTGCACTGTCTATAGCAGTAGGAAAATCTATGTTACATGTCTAAATAAAACTGGTTAGTTTATACAACATTGTGTCATCCATCCTTTTAACTTCAGGGTCCTAAATCAGGATGACGTAGAGCCATAAAAAAGTGTTATTCCTACACCAAAAGCCATGCGCACTTTAAATATAGAGTAGAAGCCAGTGTTAAAAGTTATATTAAGGGTGTTTTCACAGCTATAGTTTGTTTACTCTGGTTTTAATCAGTTGATGAGTTTGTGAACCTAGCTTTTCCTTATGATTTGGTTTGTTTTCACACAAGAAAATTCCAAGTGGACTCCAAGCAAACCAAAATGTGTCACTACAGACCGACTGAAAATGTTCAGCATGCTTATTGGCCAGATGTGAGCACTAGTGTTTTTTCACAAAAGACATAGCATGCCAGCTCACAGTTTATTTCTAAGTTTTTCATTATGTCTCTCAGTAATGACTAAAGGCCTGCCTGACATTTTCTTCTTGTCCTGACTTTTATTACTCCACTCCTTTTTCTTTCAGGTTTATAAACTGTTGCTTTTGCAACAGTTTATAAACCATGTCCGTGGACTCACAATGTCCATGTCACTGAGACATTGTTCAGCACATATATGCTATAAATCAAATAACTTCAACTGACTATTAGTTAATGCCTGCCTATACATAGGTGATGTCACTTGTAATTACTGCAGTATAAAGTCATATTCCTTTTTCCTGGTTGAAGTTATTACTGTAGCTTATATATTATTATACATTATAACTATTTTCTAATAAAAAAAAAAACTGAATGGAAACGGGGACAGTAAGTAGGGCACCAAATGACCAGTATAGTTTGTATGTCTGTCTGAGCCCACACAGTCCCACCCACCCAGTAGCAGACATACCAGTGACATCACATCAGCCCTCTCTCACGAGTCAACACATCCACAGTGAAAAATGTCACATTCACATGCCTACATGTGAATGTAGGCATCTACAAGGAAACCACATTCACATGCCTACATGTGAATGTGGTTTCCTTGTAGATGCACTTTCCATGCATTTCCTTCATGTCATCATCACTGTTGGTTAATTTTCAGTGATTCACTATTTCAGCATCAGCTCTGTGTAACGTTAAGTTTTTCCCAAGTTGTTTATTGAATGAGGGTGCGTGGTTAAGTTGTTTAATAGAGGTCTAACAGCAGTCTAAGTGACTTCTTTATGCAGTGTGGTAAAAGGAAGCAGCCACAATAAGTCATGACAATAGATGCCAACACAGGAAAACCGCAAAAGAAAAGAGGAACTGTGTTTGCAAGCAGACCCCCATAGAATCAAGATTATGCAAAATGTGGCTTAACGTTACTATAGATTGCTATATAGCTTTGATAAACAGGTTCTTTCAGCTGCTCTCTTGTTCAGGGGTTGCTTCAGCAGATTTGAATTGGCAGATCTTTACACCGGATGCTCTTCTGGTCACAATCCTGCCGGGGATAGTTTCCTCCAAAAAGGGGATCTTTTACATGTTGTGTGTTAAACAGTGCACTGTGGAGCCACCCACTATAGATCTTGTTGACTAAATGAACACTGGTATATTCAGAAAGAAATATTGAACAAATGGTTTTCTACTCAATTTGCATAGTAACCCAGAGATCTTTGTTTGCTGTTTAAATTGCCAGGTCTTTGTAGTTTTCTATGTTTAATTCACAGCACTTTTTAAAAAGAAAGTTTTAAAAGTTATTTGATCAGACATTAGCTTCGTTTCATAGCTCTCGACTTCTGCATGGGAAACAATAAAAGCTTCTGTCGTTGCTTTCCCAGTTCCAGTATGATACCAGTACCTTGGTTTTGGGTATCTGCCAATACACACCACATCACACCATACACCATTCACTTGCCCGATGTGCCCTGGTTGACCTAGATGAGGCTCAACTGAGCTTTCCACAGTTGGGCGTGGCCTTGTTTTTATTTAGAGAGTCATATTTGTCCTTCTAAAGGGCTTTATCTTAAGCCTTTGACCCTTACTCTGTGTGAGAGAGTGAGTGGGTGGGACACAGAAAATGAGGGGACATATGTGACTGCTGCCTCTTGCGTAAGATGTTATGCAGGGTTTTTTGTTTTGTTTTGGAGGTTTTTTTTGTTTTTGTTTTTTTTTTTCCTCTGTCAAGGGTTATTGTGCTCCAAGATTACAGCCTATAACCGTGTTATGTCAGTCCACAATGTCAAACTGTCGCTCATTACTATCTGCCGGCCTAAATCATCATCCTGCCAGAAGCATGCCAGATGAGTGCAGATGTTATACAACACAATGAAATTCCTTTTAAACATACTGTAATGTCATTGCCGATTGTTTATTATTAGACGTGACCTCATATCGCCTCTGCACTAACAGCTGGGACCCTCATCATGGGGAAGTAGTTGCATAGCACAGTAGTGAGCACCAAATCCAGCATTTGATAACATTTAGAGGACAGAGCTGTGTACAGTGAATTTTTGCTTGAAAACCAGTTAAAAAAAAAAGAAGAAATATATTTTAGTTGTTCAGGACTGTCAAGGCAAAGACTGTATACCCATAATTTGGATATCATCAAGTACCAAAAATACTGTAACAATTAATCAAAAGGAGCGGTGTCACACAATTACTACTTGATGACAACAATGGATGAGAATATTTAATTTTAGGTTCATAAATTTGTTTTTATAAACCAAAGGTCACAGTAGGGGAAGGGACAAGTGGATCAAACCGTAACCAGCCTCAGAGTGGTAGTACCGACATAGCCCTTTCAGAAAAATGACATCAGAGCCAGATACTATCAAGAAACAAATTCAGCAGTTCTTCTTTTTAGTAACTATTCTATTTTCTATTTTCAGTTGGAGGTTTCAGATATTTTTCTGCTGGCAAGTATAAGGTCGTGCCCAGGCACACTTCCCTCTCATTTTAGTCACAACACACACTCTGACACACAGCAGAAAACAATACAAGCCTACACAAAAAGAAAAAAAAGCGGTGGATAACTGGAAAGTCAAACCAAATGTCTCAAACTTATGCTTCTTCTTCCTCTTCGTGTATTTGCAGATCTTTGGATGGCCGTCTTCAAGTTTCCCACAGAAAAGGTCTGCCCCACGTCATCTACTGCCGTCTGTGGCGCTGGCCCGACCTGCAGTCCCACCACGAGCTGCGGGCGGTGGAGCTGTGCGAGTACGCCTTCCACACGAAGAAGGATGAAGTGTGTGTCAACCCATACCACTATCAGAGAGTAGAGACACCAGGTACGACAGCTCGGAAAAACAGAGTGCTTTCGTCGTTCACTGTTGTGTTGTTTGAAGAAAATAGTTAAGTACATTTTGTCCAGTGTGCTCTAATGGCTCTTGGTTAGTGGAATAGGCTTTGTTATTATTATTATTATTTTCTCCCACTGGATGTTTTTATAGGTTTATTTGTATCCACAGGGTTTGTGAAACACCTTTCCTCTTATCAGCTGATCAACAGTTTATTAATTTCTGTTCCAATAAATATTTATTTTATCCATACATGAAATCAGTCATTGCTTTATTACTATATTCTGAGAAAAACACTTTCTGTGTGTTTGTGTCTGTTATGCAGTACTCCCACCAGTGCTGGTCCCCAGACACACAGAAATCCCCACTGAGTTCCCACCTCTGGATGACTACAGCCATTCAATCCCTGAAAACACCAACTTCCCTGCTGGCATCGAGCCCCAGAGCAACTATATACCAGGTACCAGCGTGTCTCCTAGCATGACTCACACAAAGTACCTCCTTATGGTTTATGCTTTGTGAGAACTAGTTTGTAAGGTGGGCTGTTTATGCTGTACTGAAGAGTTTGGTGAAATCTGACTGTAACAGAGAAGGAGTAGTAGTAAAGTAGTTAAAACATGAGGATGATGGTGCACACTTGTGGGTTGTTTGTCACAAAAAAGGCGGAAGTACAGCTCTTGGAAGAGACCTACCTAGTTTGTGATTGCAAAGGTGTGTGATGACCAAGTGTGTAATTAAACTAGCTTTACTATAATTTTCCTTTTGAATCTTGAGTTGGATGAAAAGCTTTTACAACATCGTCCCAGGACAGGAGCATCAAACATAGGACCTGGGGTCAGAATTGGCCTGACAAAGACTCCAATCTGGTCCTATGGAAAGCTTGGAATATGTGAAGAAGGGCACAAACATTGGACTTCCTAACTGCATTTTCATACTTTTTACACTTTTTCATACTGTTAAGGACCTCCCTCTCTCTCTTTATATGGAGAGATCGGGCAGCTGAATGACTGGCCCACATAAGGTCAAAGCGTGCTTCATGTGGCCCACAATGTACAATTTTGGTTTGGTGTTTCTGTTTCAAGATTAAGCTTTTAACATTATAAATAAACATACAGCCACATTATAAATGTGGCTGTATGTTTATTGTCAACCGGTAGCTGTTGAAGTGTTATTGATCCTTTGACTTACTTTTCTTTTGGCTTTTCTGTTCAAAAGTCGAGTTCTGTATTGTGAGAGAATTGAGAAAATGGCCTTTTGACTATGAATTTATGAAGGGATTTACTTACATAAGCTGTTTTTCAACAGGTTAACGATTATTAAATTTTAAACACTCCTTTCACTCATTTACTCACTGACTAGAACCTTCTCACTATTTAGGAAGTTCTGTGTAGGTGATTGTACGGTCACTCTTTGCGTCGTTAATTATCTTGTACTTCAGAATAATTAAAGCACAGCAGGCCAACTGTAATAATAGTAGTAACACATACTGGATTTAATCAAATTATTAAATAAAAGTACTTTTGGGCTGCTCTCATTCCTCATCTCAATCTGTTATTTTTCCCTCAGTGCAGCTACAATGCTTGGTTAGTGATCAGGGACCACCAACATGTCAGTATGAGTGAGTGTTTGTGTCTTTGTCTCAGAAACACCTCCACCAGGCTACCTCAGTGAGGATGGAGAAACCAGTGATCACCAGATGACTCATAGCATGGACACAAGCTCCCCAAATCTGTCACCTAACCCAGTTTCACCCACACACAATAACTTGGGTAAGAAATACGTGTGTCTGTTTGTGTACTTTTCTGTTTGTCTGCCTTGATTTGCAAACAAATGTTTCAGCAGCGTATCTCCCCAGTGGGAATTCTCTGTTTGGTTTAACTCATTTCTGTAAGAGGAAACCAGATGATGAAAGAAGCCTTTGTGTTCCCCGCTCACCATGTGAACCTTTGAACAGGTCAAGACACCACGAAGCCCACACTAACATCAATAACAATATCCTAGGTTTATTCTATCAAGATGGAAAAGCGCCGGGAGGCTTGGCTGGAACGCAGTTGGTGAAATAATAAAGCAACACCAGTTTCATTTGGCAGTGCTGTCCGGTTGTGTTCTGGACTTCAAAGCAAAGGACAGAATGTTTCTCAGCTGGTAG